AACATCGGTTCGAATAAATGTTATCGTCAAACGAAAAAAAAAAAATAATCGTTTATCGAAATATAATATAAGTAAATGTAAAACTATTTATTACAATAACAGTAATAACACTATATAATAGTCTAATATGGAAAAAATTGACATTGATTTTGATTAAAACATAACATAATATATATCTTATATTACCCCTAGACATGTAAACACACAATAAGTAAAAAATATATAGGTTACAATATTATCTAAAATTTCATAACGTCGAGTGGCTGCTGCAAGGATTGAACAGATCAATTATCTATAGGTAAGTACCTATTTTGCCGGTAAAATTTTTAGGACACGTGAATTTACACGTCATATGTGTATAGAGTCTGGTAAAGCACATATAATATGCCTATTTTTTTCTTTAATAATAAATTCACTAAAATTCTGAATTTTTCAGTACTTTTCCTATTTTTATACTATATTTTTAAACATAGAGATTTATTTGCCATTTAGAAATTGTTCCGCAGTGATACAAACTTCTTTTTTTTTTCATACGAGAACCACTATTTTTATTGTACATGTTGTGCAAATGATTTTTTTTTCAAATTTTGATGTATATAAATTAAAATTCAAACGAGTAGTTTTTGAATTATTAAACTGTATGACGTAGTTATCTATAATTTATAAAAAGTTTCATAGTCTATGGTAATTGATAAAAGATATGGAAATAATGACTATTTGAAAACAATAATAATGAGTTATGAGTTTATAATTTGTTAAAGTGGTCCGAGTATAATAAGTAACTATTAGATTAAATTTTACATTTATTTTATATTTGATATTTAGCCATAACTACCAAGGGCCTATTCTTAGTGTACAAAGTACACTATCGTACATCAAAGAAACTATTCGTTACAATTTTGATTAAGATGTATTAAAGTAAAGAAAAAATACATTTATAAATAAAAAAATTTGACTCTTTTGTGAAAAAAATTGTTTGTTTCACCACAGGACACTCCTTAAATAATGTAACAAATCTAAATATCTTAAAATATGGTGTTTATAGGTACCTTTATTTAAAAATGATAAAAATCAGAATTTGAATGATTACATTATTAAAGGGTAAAATAGGGGGAGAAGTCAGTTGTCAATGGCTATCACCCTGTATATATTGTCAAATATCATTTGAAATAGATACTGTTGTGGAAATAAATTTACATAATTTGTAAATGTCTATATATCGGAATCAGAATATTCTACTATAAAATATGAATACGATAAATTCCAAGTAGAATTTATACATTTGCCACTCGAAGATATGATATGTGCGTTTATTAAAACTTTATGGTTTTAATTATTGTTTTAGTTTTCAGTATTGTATCTATTTGAATTTTTATCGATACCGCACGATTATTATACCGCTAAGTTCTACTTAATTGGTTAGGTTATAAGTATTTTTATGCGGCCATAATTATACTTACTAGAAAAACGATATGATAATTTTGTCACACATATATTATATATATATATAATAACTATATTTTATATATTTTATTATAACAGGACCCGTTCCCAACACTATAACTGGAAAGATAGAATTTTTTTATAAACTAATATTATTTAATAATTATTGTTATAATAATATAAAATATATAAAGTTTTGACCACTGCGTTGCACTCAGCGGACGTCACCGACATAATAACAACGCATAAATCGTGTAAATATTTACATAATATTAGTAATTAATATAATATATTTATAGGTAACTTTAAACATTTAAAAATAAAATCATAGAAATCCTTAAGGTATAAATTTACATAGGTAGAAACCCTGTGTAGAGGTACAAAGGATACGGATTTCTGTGTCGGGCGTGTATACAATGATTATCTGTCAAAAATTGATTTTAAGAAATGGAATAAGTATCTAGGCAGAGAAATTCGAAATTTTAGAAATGTATGCCTGTGAAGACTATGTGTCCAACATGTGACACATGATTTATGTTGTCTGATATCGTCGGATAAAACCATATTTTATCCATTTAATCCATCAAACGGAAAAGCCACGATTTTATGCGAAACCATAATAATTATAAAACGCCTTTAAAAGTGGTTGGATTATGTGGGTCAATAATTATATTGACCCTATAATAATACATGAGACTTAGATATACCTGATAGAGGTTTCTTTGATATCGACATTGGTGAAATTTTGCAGATCCATTGTGGTAGAAGGGGGACGCCGAATTTCACGGGCCGTATTTACGTATTTATTCAACATTTTATTTTTACGGTTATTTGATTTCTGTTAAAAAAAAAAAGAATGTTTACTAAAAGCATAAATCGATGCATTTTCGTTTTCGACGAGAAAAAAAGAAAACGACGCCTGCAATTTTTGGTTAGGGGCTCAATCCATCACAACTTGCGTGTATGATTATTGCAGTTTATGGATGAGTTATAACCCTATATAGGTACGAAACGTGGTATTTTATGTACGATAACCGTGTAAACAATATACGATTTTAACGTGGTCATCACAATATAATGTATTAATTTATAATATTTTATTATAGAATTACCTGTATAGAGTTGTGTTAATATTATAATAATATAATATATGCATTGTATTAATAATAATTCAGTCGGACGAAAAATACGTGCTCGAGATATCAAAAAACGAAAATCAAATGTTTTAAACATAGTATGATGTGTATAGCTTTGGCGGGGGCTTTCGTATTTTTAATCATAATAACAAACTTCTGACGATAATATTATATGGTTGTATAAGAGACCATAGAGACGCGATAGCGATTCGGCCCAAAGTTTGCGAATATTTGATATTTGAATAATAGTATTCGGTAACAAGGACTGCCTTGGGAAAATAATGTTCAGGTGCGACGCGTGTTTTGAAAACCACGGTGGTGTTGTACAGGTGGTTAGGAGGGGTGTAGGATTGATCGATCTCCCTTGGACTGAGCGCGGAGTGTTGAAAATAATTATAATATCCGCGGGATCCCGAGAACATAATGCCGCGCTTTTCAACAGTGTCATGTTTAATATCGATATGAGTTTGTCGATTTCGTATGTATATTAATTTTAGACGGAAACATATTGTGTACAACGTTTTCATTTTTTATTCGGATGAGATTTTGAATACATATTAATATATCCGGTAGATGTACATGAGCGATTATATTGTTTTTCAAACGCAAATTTCGTCGTAAAATCGATCAAAGATGAATTTTGTTAGCGGAAGACTGCAGAATAATATAAGTTAGGGTAAGTTCAAAGTTGTAACTTGTAAACACCAAAGTACGATTATGAGAAAAAGATAACAGTATTCAAAATGTACGTGCACAGTGTTAAGTATGCAATCAATTAAATTCCGTTGATGCCGAGTGCGATAAATATATCAACTGTTTAAACTTATCTAACTTCATAAATATTTTTTATTTCTACTGGAATTAATATTAATATGTTCGCGTGTTGTTAAGAAATTGGGCACCGGAAGTTAGAGCATCGAAAAGTTTTTCGTATAAGACCAAAAGTATAATAGTGGGCAATTCCGTTGCGTGGAATTTATTTGTTTTAGAAAATTATTTTAAAAATATACGTTTGTTGTATTTAAATTAAAAATTTCAAAACACGTTAAATAGTATTTTTTTAATATCAGGGAATTAAAAAATATTGAGTAAGTACGGGTATTAAATATTTTCAATCACTTATGCACTTTAACCAAAAACTAACTCGCGAGTCTGTGTTAAACGATGTGTAAGGCCAATATTCGCCACTATATGTGTAGACAATATGATGCAAATCCAAAATTAATTTTTATAAATATTATTGTAATTTTTTATTCAATATTATTTTCATGTGTAATTGTAAATATTTATTCGTGACCCTCCCTCTGTTAAGTAATTTGATGACAAAACAATGTAATAACGGTAATTAAAAATAATAAAATTTAATTTAATATTATTAGATAAACCAATTAAGATAATATATTCAATTATTATTTAATTAAAAAAAATAGAAAATTCTTTTTTTCCAACATTATCTTGTATAGTACAATATAAAGAACGGAATGTTTTCATAGTATATTCAATTTTGTGCGGTATGTTTAACAATATACGCATGGGATAGTAATTTTTAACGTGCAAAACTCGTCATGCTTAACATCCTACACAAAACTACTTTACCATGTTAAAGGAGTCTTAAATATATTTGTTCTATATAATTTATCTAATATATTTGTACTAAGCATTTTCATATATTTTTATTTTTTATTTTGATACACGGGACTACTTTTTAATCCAGAAAATATTGTTTAAGTTTAATTTTTAAATAAGATTATAAGAGATGCGTTCAAATTTGTTGAATTTTACTTTTTACACGTTAGTACATATTATAGTACACCCCTTAAAATTTAAAATTTGTACAGTATTCTTAATCACAAATTAAATAATAAAAAAAAATATATCTGATCACGTTTTAATAATTAAAAATAATGGCTGACATTTAGAAACTAGGTCGATAAATTTAATTTAGGGTATAAATAAAGGCTCTATAATTAAGAGATTTCAAGAATATTCATGAATTTTATGTATTTAAAAATACCATAAGCGGAAGTTTGAAATTAAGTCAATATTTTAAGTTTTCAACCAATAAAGAGGTGAAGGGGGGTATTTATTTGAGTGAAGTATTACGTGTTAAAACTTTCATCATTTCTTAAATATAGGTACTGTTAAATTGTAAAATAATAATCAATGTACGCGTATGTTTTTATATGTTTTTAATACACTTTATTGAAAAGTATGTAGTGGCTATAAGTCGTGAAAAATTTTTTCCGTAAATCAGTGATTAGCAACGATTCAATGTAATGGAATGTAGTACCTAAATGCTTATTTATTTTATGCGTTGTTTTGTGTTTATTAAATTCAAACGGTAAATGCATATTATATATATATATATATATATATATATATATATATAACATAGAAGAATTTTTAGATAATAATATTTATAATTAAAAAAAAAAATAATAATAATAATAATAATAATCTTAATAATAATAATTTTAGTAGGTGGCATATCTAAGCGATTTTGGCACGAATGCACTTGGTCTGAATTGACACCGCATTATGATATAAATGACGCGCTTCTCCTCCACGATGGTAGTTTGATTATAATATAGGTATACGGTATTCGTGTGGATGGCGGGATTAGATTTTTTTTTTTTTAGTTTAATCCAAAAAAAAAAAAAAAAAATTTTCCACCGGGTTTGTGGACAACCACAGTAGATGATCAGTGGCGGTGGCGGACGGCCGCTTGAATATGCCCCCGATTAATGCGCGGTAACAACAATTTAAAAATATTATGGAGAGTATACGCATTAAAATATTTTTTTAATTATATTGCGTGTAATGACCGTTGGAATGTTTATGTCTTGTGCAGCAGCAGATTAGTGGCGTTCAGACCAGTCGTCGGCGATGCTGTGCAACTTCTGCTCGCCGACGTCCGGGACTTGCTTTCCGTCAGTTTGAGGTTTTCGACGGTCTTGTTCTCGTTCGAATCGTCGGCCTCGTTGATGCATTTCCGGTCACACGGGCCGACCACGCCGGTGAGCGCGTTCAAAGGTATTCGGTAAAGACGAAGTGGTTTCGTTTCCGGAGATACTGAAAACATAAAGCGTCCAGAATTATGATTAAAACGTCACAAATTATTCACGTTCTAAGGACACTAATAGTCAAGTAATATAATATTGTCACATTTGCGCAATAGTATTCAGTTGAATTCTAGAGGTACGTATACTCGAATTTCTTAGATATTTCTTAGTTTTTGATTATCCCATTATATTATATTGAACTATTTATTGCAATGCGTTTTATTTAATTAATTGTTTGTAGTTCACATTTTATTACATATTTTTAACCAAATAGTAGGCACCCGAATAATGAATAAAGTAAGTTCATTCACTTTTAGGATTATACCAGTCATAGGGGCGTCATTTAATTTATTTTTATTGTTAGTGTCAACATTTTTGTAGGCTATTTAAAATCATTACCAGGCTAAAATTATGAGCATATTTTTTCGAGAGGGGGGAGGGGTCAAGGCGAGACTACTTCTTATGTCCTTTTCTTAGTTGCTATATCTTCTAACTATCAAAGTCTGTTACCATTACCCTACATCTCTGTAGTAATCTGTCCCCCGTCTTTCTATTATTCACACTAGCTATTTTCATGTCATTCTCTATTCTGTCTAACAGCTTTTTCTTTGATCTTCCTCTCCGTATTTTTCCTTCAAAATTTATTCAAATAGCCTCATTGCCCTCCTTTTAATTAAATATATCTAAACTGTAGAATATTTGTGTAATTTATTTTTTATTTTTTTATTTATTGTTACTTTAATATTTTTGTTGAATTATGTGTACTTTTATTGCACTTATATTTATATTTATTTTGTGGTTACTATGTTACAATTGGTAAATTAATGTATTGGTTTAAGCGCTTTAATAATAAAATACCTAATTTAACTTAATCTGTAACATTTTTCGTTCCGCACTCAAAATATATAATATAGGTAGCTAAATAAAACTTTGAATTTATTCTATGAACACCATTGCTTATAAATTCTAATGGCATCATAAAATGTTTACTTAATTTATATTTTTCCTTTTGGAGTTTTAATTTAACAATAAACCACAAATAGATAAATAAAAAAATATTATCATAAAATAATATCATGACTCAATATCTGATTTGAAACATTTTAGTACATCGGTGTTTATATTTTATTTTTGGCAAGCCAAATAAGGTATTTAAAAAAAAAATTGCGTAAATGCATATTCTGCTATCTCTTCTCCAAATGACGCCCCTGCCTAGTCTTAGGAAATAATTTATTAATTATATTATTATTTAATAATTAAATAATCATTATACGATTTGATATTTTTCAAAAATTAAGACAACCTGAATATCCATATCTCCAAATCTATAATTAAATCCAAAATTTAAATAAATATCTAGATATTATAGTTTATTTTCCTATAGTACAAATAAGTCTATGTATGCGTAATCCCAAGATGGTGGGATAAATCGTTGTTTACGAGAAAAAGAACGTGTTCCTCTAAACTCTCTCACAGTAAATAAATACGTCTGTGTACATTATAATATAAATGCGCCTATGGTTAGTATTACTATTATTATATACCTGATATATTATTTTCATAGATAGTAACAGAATACGAATAAAATAAAAAGCGAATAGGTTAAGTTAGTCATAGGTTTTCATTGTACGTTTAGATGACTGAACATAGCAATTGATTATTTGTTTCAAATGAGTACCTATTATTAATTTGCATTCAAAATATAAAGTTTTAATTCCCGATCGAAATTTAATAAGTAGCTAAACTCGATTAAAATCTATATGGCCCATAATATTTACGTATTTTTATAATTTATGTATGAATTTTATTGGAGTAAGTGAAGTTATTTTTTTAAGTTGTTTAGTATATATTTTTTTTTTATTACAAAAATATTATTAAAATATTCAATATTTAATATGGTTTTGCATTTATGGTAATAATTATTTTTAGATCATATTGATTAAATATATTTTTAGTAGTTTAACTAATGCGAAATGATTTTTTGAGTTGTTATTGCCGTTGTTCCTAAAACGTATTTTACATAATAATGTATATTATTATAAGTAAAATGTGAATATCGCGTTATTTAAATAGCATTATATTTTTTATGCTAATCGAATAATTAATATAATTAAAACTTTGATTACATTGTATTCTATTATGTTAATGTAATATACTATAGAACAATTATTTAAGTAATATGTAAATACGTGCAACCGTGCCAGTACAATACGATTTATCTCGAAAATAAGCTATCACCAGAACAAGGGGAAATCAAATTAATACAGACTTTTTCTTGTATGTATACATACATACATGCACTGCAGTAAAAAATACTATGGCTTGGTTTAAGCATTAGTTTTATTACCGATGAACATTTTGTCGTTGTATAATATACAAAAAACAAAAGACCTACGTAAAATATGTTTATTTTTCGATCTCAATCATATACCCAAAATAAAAGTTTTTAAATACCTATTGTCGGGTTTTATCAAGAGGCGATAGAGCACTGAATACATATATTTTCGCCTGCTATACGATGGTATGGTAATAAATATTTTCATAACATAACTAAAGTAAAATATACTCATATTTATTGTGTATTTATTATATTATTGTCAAAACGGTTTAATGACGTTTTGTCCGCTATACACAGTACCTAAGTATTCATAAAATATTTCAATGGAGCAATTTTAAATTCAATTTATACATTATTCGTTATTGTATAATAATAATATTATTATTTTATCAAAAAGCAAAACCATTAAATAAATTTCGCAGAATGTATAACATATTGCAAATTAATTGAAATAAATTTTGAATTGAGTTTTTACGGCGTATAATACAAATTGAAATGTGTTTTTACTAGACCCTAGAAACGAAGACCTACGGTCGCCGCGGGTGTATAGTTATTGATCAAATAATGTTAATACAACATTGTATAAGTATATTCAGTGATATTAAATCAACTTTAAGGACAAAGAAATACTAGTTTGATTCTTTTGATTTAAATAAGGTATAGGAGATATGAATTATGTTCTGTATACTTAGCTACTATACTACCTAACCTTTGATGTTAAAATTTAAGTTTTCTTAGACGACTTTTGGTTTATTTTATTTAAGATTCGTATCATGTATTTATTCAGTGAACACTTCCATAAACTTTATCACCCATAGTTATAATAAAAATGTTAAGCTTGTTTGTTCATTTATTGTTTCTATTAACTGTAAATGTACATTTAGACGAACTTATGAAATTATTTATTATTTTTTGTTGAAAAACGCGAGAGTTTAAGTAAGAATAGATAGTATATTATATGATAATTTTATTGTTTTGTTCGAGTGTGAGTCTTATGTTATATGGTTAAGCTATCGCCAAAGAAAACATTCATTCAAACGACTGAAGTATTGTCATTATAGCAATATACTTAATATCTTAAATGCCTACAGGCTATAATTATGATATTATAGAATTTTTTTGATTTTTGATATAATTTATCATATATCAAAACTTTAGTATCTATATCATTAACTGTATAACTTATAATTACAGTGTGGCGAAGCAGGCGGTGACATGCTCTCTCGTTCGGCTTTTTGTTGGTCCATTTGCAGTCTCTCCATTTTCCCGTGGAAAAATTCTGGAGCAGTAGTTGCAAAATATATGTCATTCTATGATAAAAAATAATAAACACAATAATTAAATAATAGTTACCAATAATAAAATGTTATCGGAAATCAATGCTTAAATTTGATTTAAAAAAATTAATGTAGTCTATTACTTGATACCTTGGAACAAATTAATTTTAATTTCGGCATGGCCATAGTCTGGACTAAATTGCCATTGATTATAAGTCTGATTTCCATTGTATCCGTGGTAAATGCTATGATGTATGGAAAAGAACACACTGCGGAAAATCGAATTATTTTATTTTTATAATATTATAATAGTAAATTCCCAGTAAGGTATATGTCTAATATTTTTCTAATACTCTAACTTTATAGTCATGACCAAAAAACACGGAAAATTTTCCATTTTGATGGGTTTAAAAATATGAACATTACAATTACAGTAATTCAGCTATAAATAATTTGTTAAATTAAAAAAATACATTTAAACCTTGCTATATTAGATTTTTTGGATATTTGATAGATTTAAATCTATATATTCGAATAATTCGCTGCACAAGTGTGACCTAAAATTACGTGGATCGGCAATTCGATACCATACAAGAAAGTTTTTCTCAATAGAAAATTATTTATAAAATATCATATAGTTTATAATGTAGGAACGAGTATAAACATATGATCGTTCAATATAATATTTATCTATAACATAATATTACTTAGCTGATAAAACATAAGATAAGAGTTTGCTTGTCGTTAAAATGAAATCGTGAAATGTGACGTCAGACGGATAATAAAAATGTATAATAACATTGCATAAAAATCGTCAGACGTTCAAACTACAGAACTTGACTGAACGATTTCACTGTTTTGTAATGTTTGATTTTTTACCAAAAAACCAAATTACTAGGTATGCTTAATTAGACACGCTGCTTATAGAGACGGTTTACCATACAAATGATTCATTATAATTACCTATATCCTTCGGAATGGAATTCCAATGGAAATCAAATTCGGTTGTATTGTTTGTCTCACTGAGTTTTTGAAAATGACAAGTGTCTGTAAAACACGAAGAGCGGAATTAATTATAAACTTATATAGCCAATATTAATATACTAGAAAGAATTTGAACGTGAATAGACTATGTATAGAACCTGTAATGAATTTAAACACACGGAATTTCATCTAAATGTATACGAGTGTTAATTTGGTGTGTGAGTGTTTACATTTTTTTTTTCTCTTGACAGATTGTTCAAGTTTGGGTAACATTTGAATATTCGTATTTTGGTATAAATTGGTATAAATAGATTTATGTATAGAATATAGATATTAGATATCCAATAGTAAAATAATCACCTACTGAAGTAGAAATGAATATATAATAACATAGAAGTGGAAACAAATTAATAATAAAAAAAAACTTTATTGGGTGAACAAAAAAAAAGATGATGAAATTTGATTAAAAAATTGACATTTATTCATGTCATAGTTATATCAAAACATAAAAACTTAAGTTCACCGTAAACTATGCCTAAAATTATAATGGACTCGTCTATGTAAGAGTACAATACATAATCAAGAGCAGAGTGCCACAAAAATTTTGGTTTGAAAAATATCAAATATCGAACGATTTGTTTAGTTTTTATTCATAAATATCTTTTAAAGTATTTCTGAATACATAAGTAGGTAGGTACTAGTAATATGATTTCTGCTGTAATAGTGACAATTTTTTGAGCAAATTTGCCTTTCAAATTCATTGTAGAACTCTATCTGAAAATCCTAAGGCGATTTAGACTGAAAAATTAGCATATCTAATTAAATGGATTATCCTGAATTTTATAAAAAGGTAGTATTTTCTACAAATGTCTGCAATGTTGTAGGTTTTATGGATGTTTCTTTTTTCTCTGGCATGTGCGTGATGTGGTCAGGATGAATTGTGTTGCCTAGCGAGAGGCAAGATGGGTAATTGACACGCTATATCGCACCTCCTATGTAATAATATACGCTTACCGATAAATTATATTTTATCATTATAAAGTTTAATCAAGTTTATTTTATTTTTTTAAATTGAAAAATATGATACACACTGGGGGAATAATTTTTTAAATAAATCGGCATGTGTTTAGAACCCATTCAAACTTTTTAGGTAATGTGATATGCCATTAAATAATGGAGACTGAATAAAAACTTCTATTTTAAAACTTAAATGTATACATATTATATAATACTAAATTTCAAATTATTTTGTTTAATATAAGATCGTAATTAATAGTATCTATATATATATATAATATATTATGTTTATTTCACCAATAACGTAGGTATTACGTTGAAAATCTCAAATTCAATCCTGCAGTTAAGATAAGGAATACAATTTGGAAATATTACATAATACAAACGAAACATAGCATGTTATATACATCCGTATAAAGAGATATATTGCATGGATATTTACAGTGGACAATAAAATATGTCACGAGGGGTTATTGTCGAGAATAGGTGCGTGAAATAATGAAAATGGTGGCCATAAAATACTTAAATTATAAATAAATTATAGTTTTCAGATTTTTAGTCTGAAAAAAAATATTTAGTGACACATATACATAAATTACACACACACACACACACACACACACACACTCTCATACAAATATATACACATGTGATAGTTGGTTTTTAACTAAATTAGTATATTTTTTTAAGTATATATTCGATATCTGTATGAATTAAAATATTTGGATTAATAAAATAGAATTGAAAACATTCACGTATCAATGGAGCTTTTCGAAAATTTTTAAAATTAAAAATATAAGGTTTTAAATACCAATTTTGACGTGAACAAATAAAAATAAAAATTGTATTCAACAATTATTTAGACCCCTCCAAAAAATAAAATCCTGGTTACGTGTTTGGTTGAAAGGAGCTTTTAAAAAATCAAAACGTCAACTAAGAAAATGGATGGGCGTTATACTTTTGTAAGTGTATGTGTTTGTAGGGTGTTCGTGAATGGTAAAAAAGTAATTACTGTTATAGCATAATAGCAACTCGGGCTCCTCGTCTTCGTAGAGATCAGTGGCAGACACCAAGTGAGCTTTGGTGCCTTCTTGAACCGCAAACAATCGTTGGGCGGTGCCTGATCCATCGGTGATGATGTCGAACTGATGTTTGTACCCAACGCAAATACTGCACGTGTCCGAGTTACCACCGACCGCCGACTCAATCAGCGTTATTATCGATGGCTGTTCGGCGATTTGGAATTCCTTAATAACACGAAAATAGCAATTGTATGTATAATTGACCGCCAATGTATGCCAGTCCATTATTTAGTAAATATACATTCTCCCTTCCTTTAAAAAATAATAGAAAAACCAAACCTCCCCAGTTTTATTTGTTTACTCCATTTTATCAGTGAAATAATAGTATATTAACTAATCGAGGGAAAAATGAATCTAAACACACCGTTGTTCAAAAGAATCTAATAAAGTATAATAATTTATATCACATAATATTATATTTATCGGAAATTGATTTTGAATATAATATATTATGTAACGAAAACCGTGGATTTCGCTTTATTGTAAAACAGGAAACCATAAGTGAGTATAAATAATTGTAATGGTAATGGATATGTTAAATTAGAATTCAATAATAAATTATTGTACATGAACAATTCTTAGCGGAGATGATGTGACAGCCTCCATTTCTAAGGATATTTGATAATACATTAATAATATTATTGTAAGTATTATTTTAGATAATTTTTAAAAGTACCCACTGGTATTTTTTTTTTGAACTCCCTTATCTCTCCTCATAAAAAAGCACTAATTGATTTATTAGATAATGGAAAAAATTTTATAAAAAAATAAAATAATATATATCGTTTAAAACCAATACATTTATCGTTTCGTTCAAAATTGAAAAACAACAGTAAAAACCTATTTACTTTTATTATTTATAAAAATTATGAATACATTTTTTTTTTATACATCTTTGGTAGGTACCTATCTATAATTTACTGTTTATTCTAATGTAGAACACGTAGTAAACCTATGTCTATTTAGACACAAAAAACCTCTTTGAAAATTGGTCTGTGATACGCGTCTGGTTAGTTGAATATAATACAGCGTATTTACTATTTATTATTGAACATATTTCGGTGTTTCAGCCAGAATTTTAGAAGCACCTAATAAAGCCGTGGACTGTTAATATACAAGATCTCACTATATCATAGTACATTAGCACATACGCGCGGATATGGAACTTAAATTGCTTTATGTTGTTAGAGCCAGTATAATAATGTTTGCTTCCCAAATTAATTTTGATCACAACTTTGTACCTACTCATTAACTAACAAACTTCATAAAAGATTTTTATATGAATGTTAATAATTATTCAAAATATATTTGAAAACTAATAAGACTTAAAAAAAAATTAAATAGTAAATTAAAATTGGTTTATTTGACTATTTTTTATCATTTTTTAAACATCCAAATTCCGGCAACATTTTTAATATTATGTACCTACCTGTATTAATACGTAATAATATAAACAAATGTAAAATAGTACTATTAATATAAATATTGTGTAACACAATATTATATTTACCCTCAGATACATGAACCCTTCGACCGTGTCCGTATCGCTGGCCGGACACCAAGCTGTCCAGGCGGCTGAGTGTTTCCATTGCATCAGTGTCAATTTGCGATTTACACAGATTACCTGCCGGGCAGAAAACCGAAATTATAAGGACCACCTACGAGGTGGTGAATAGTTCTGATTCAAAACGCAGCGGGTTGTAGCCATGACCAGTATACATATATGTATAAAAATTATGTCTGACGAGTATCTCCTGTCTACCTTATGATATACGATAATAATGCACCTGAATTATATAATATACAGCGCTGAGTGCAGGTGATACGAGCATTATAGACATTCCATGGCCAAAATTTCAGCAACTTCGGTATAAACTCCCCTCGACGCTTCTCTCCGATTCTCCGATTACTACCAACTTTTTACACCACAATAAAGGAATAGTCACTTGCTGTAACGTCGGTGACTCGCAGTGTAATATGCATATTGTATATGTATATATAATAGATAGTGCATAATATTATGGGTCACGCGACAGGGGCGTCATTTAGGGGGAATCAGGGTATGCGGTTGCACCCTTTACTTTTAAAATAATATACTAATTGGCCTGCGTCCTGCTGAGATAATGCTCAAAATTAAATCTTTTTAAATTGTATTTTAATTTTCATATTGACAATTTTTCAACAATGGTATCTATATACAGTCAATTATTATGATTGTTAATTATTTATTATATTTTAGTTTTCAAATTGATTTTTACTGCCTATTTATATTGATGCGTTGATTCGGTCCATAAAATGTATGGAAATAATTAAAAACAGGATAATGTGTACATATATATACATATATATACTTTTATATGGCCTGCTTGAAACTTCGCACACCTAAAAAATAATCTGAAATGACGTCCCTGTCACGCGATGGCGATGTAAAACGTTTTATATTTTAACGGCTTTTATATTTTATGTTAATTGTTAACTACTCGTATAATAATTCCAGGTTACACATTCCAAAAAAGTTCGATTACTTATAACTGTATACTTATTATACCAACGATTTCAAAATTGTACTTGTCGTATTGGCGATAAATGGATGCAAGACATCCCATATGTCTGATCACACTAATATAATTATGTATAATACGGACGATTCGCACACTCAATAATTGTAATGCGTATCTACTAACCTATTTATAACGAAAGTATTTTGTACATGACGAACCGCAGCACAGGTATAATAATTATGGACCTTAAATTTCGAAGGCACGATAGGCTTATGTTACATATTTATTTATTTGCAATATCATTAAAGATACTAATAATATCGATTAATAATAAATAAAAGATTAATATTAAGAAATATTATTTATATTGAAATAATAATTATTATTCTGTCTTCAGTTGCAAATGTTTTAATGATATTTTCAGTCTTTAATATTGATTTGTTAAACCTCTTTCAGAATTTAACAGTTAAAATCCTTCTTGTGTTATGCTAATCCGTAGTCATTTTTTTATTTGTTGCGTTACAAAAATAAAACTAATACACTAGTATAAGTGCATAATTAATCAAGTAATTTGTGGGGTGGGGGGAAGAGAAGATGATAAAATATTTGATGGTAATAAGCTGTGAGTTTTGTTACGCCAATCGTACTGTGGAATTTTCCCTAATACAACTTTCAGTGTGCGGTTAACGCAGTAAAACACTACTGCCATTCAATTTATATTAATGGTTTATTATTTTATTAATGTTTGCATAATACAGTTTCGGCATAAACAAAAAAATGTTTACTTTTAATTAACTAACATAAATATTAAAACCGTCGTTGTTTTTGCTTCTGATGTTGAGATTAATTCCGTCGAAAAAATATGCACATATATTCATATATAGGTACATTGAGGTTGTAGAAAAAACGTCTATTATACAGTGAATGTATCTTATGAGTTATGACGAATAAGCTTTGCCATTTTTATGTAATTTGATGGCAGGATTAAATACTCGTAAAAACTAAACTTATACAATTAGCATTATTATTATGTGTTTGTAGTGTTTACGCATCACCGGTTACATTTACGCGTTATTGTATTGCCCACAACCCTTCAAAAAAAAAAAAAAAAGAATGTTTTGTTGTATTCAAAATATGCAAAACAAACGCATTACCTAACCTATACATAAAAATAATGCACTGTGTGTATAGTCATTTTTACGTGAATCGTGCAATATAATATAATCGTATCATATTATACTTTTCGTTTTTAACATTATACAATATATTTAAATTTTGAAAAAAATTTACGACTTATTAAAGAATTATATTTTTAAGACCAAAATCGAATAAGACCGTTATCTAGTTTACGAAAATGAAATGTCACGATATAATAATAATATATTTACCATTTTGAGTCTCGAACCGCCGGGTTTACTAATCGCGTACATACTGCAGCCCCTGGTGCGTTCTAGTTTATGGTCTTTGAGGTCTGGTTTACTCTTTACTTCGGTCAGGATGTCCGCATCGAACTCAGATAATCTGAATACGTATATCTTGCTGTCACGACCTGCAACCGCAAAACAGAACTAAGTTTAATAACCATAAACGACAACGACATTATCCGACCGGCGATAACATGACGGGTTTTCGTAAATACAACTACACGTCGATTGCTGTTGTCTCCATTACAATAAACATACGCACCCTTTTCGGTCCTGAACAAAAGGATACCGTGAGCTTCTACGACGTTCAACTGATTGGCTTGTATCGTCTTGTCGAAGATTTGCCTCTGAGATACGCCGTCTGTTGACCAATAAATAAAATAAAAATAATACAGTTATGAGCCACAGATCAAACACGTGGTAGTGTTTATTAAAATATCGTCAGAAAAGTTTGTTTAACGAGTGACGGATATTAAGTAGTGTATAATAATTGGTGTTATTCGTACAAATCGCAGTAAATAAGTAGGAATAGATACCTAGGTCATCGTGTGCACTTCAAAGAATGGTTCATATGCGTTAGGTTATTAGAGTAGAATGGATCTGTAGACATAGATAGATCGATAATGTTTATAATATTGCATTGAAGTAATACATACAGAAGAGTAGTTTATTAATTTAAAGCCGTCCGGAGGTTTTAAATAAACTTAATTACTCTCGTGACACTCAGATTCTTTCGACTAACATAGAAAATTAAAATCACGCTGTTAAAAACCATTAGAATAAAGGATGATATAACGGCTAGTGTTTGTAATAGGATTTATATTTATGAGTTAAAAACTAGTACTCAATGTTGATAGAGTTTTAAAACGTATAAATGCATATTGTTATTATAAACTCTATGAACTATATTACATTATTATAGTAGACTAAACAATAACGTTTACCGAATTTCCAAGAAATGAATAATTCGATTTTCAGTTCTTGTTGTATATGGTTACAGTTGGAGAATAATAATATGCGCACAAATAAAATAAATACTAATTTAAACGAAATGATTTTAAATTGATTTCATGTTGAAACCATAAAATTATTTTATTTTGAATTTAAAAATAAAATAAATATCTTCCGTTATGATTTTGTTAATTTTTAAATGAAAGATTCTAAAAATGAAATCAAGAAACTTTTATTTTATTTTTATTGAATAATAAAAACAAGAGTAATTGGTTTTTGGTTCAAGTTATATTTTTGAATATCATACAACAACAAAAAATATTAATTATATTTTTGATTTTTAACAATAACACCAGCAGTATTAAAGAAAATAAATGCATTTTCTCATAGAAATTAATTTTCATTATCATGAATGCATTGTAATATAATATCATTATAAATAATTAAATTGTTACACGCTAACGCAAATATGAGAGAACCATTAAATCATATCATTTATTTTGTTTTTATTGTTTTTCAAATCAATCACATCCGACACTTATGACTTGAGCTTTTGACCTAAAAAAAACTAATTTGTGTAACAATTTTGATACGCGTGGGCCGTGGGTGTATATATATGCACGTTTGTTTTCTCAATTGTGTTTTATATGTACTGTTTCTAAAATTTCATAAGTATACAACAGAAATGTCAGAGTAAAATGTGTGTACTTAATCAAAATTTTAACACAAACATTCAATCATGTAAAATTAATTGATGTCAAAATTATTATAGCCATATTATTAATTAAAGTTATCCGACATAAAGATTCGAGTTAGAAACATTCATTATTTTTCTTTCACAAAAATACCTAATCTGTGAACTCAATTATAACGGAATATATTGAACCCAGAAGTCATAATGTTTAATCAATTAAAAGGAATAATAGGATTTATCTGATCTTAAATCACTGTATAAAAATTATGAAATTATCTCATCATAAAAATGTATGTAATAAATACATTTTAAATTTAAATTTTCCACAAGTCAAATGAGAAAATATATTTATAATTAATACCTACTACTTTTTAACATATCTTATTTTTGGTATGTTTTACGTTTTATAGTGTTTTTTTTTCTTGGCCTAATATAGGCCGTTAGGCCCTTTGTCGCAATTATCATTTTTTCTCATCGTTCTCTAGTTTTTGTCATCTTTTTTGAATTCTTTATTCCTATCAAGCTTAGGTCTTGATGTACATGGTCACGCTATCGTTGTCTCGGTTGATTCAGAGGTCTCTTTTATCAAGTTAATAATATTAAATTATGAAATTAAAATATATTTAATGAAAATAAGTATTTGTAATTACTGTTATGTATAAATGCCATTAGGTAAAAAAGTATAAATTATTGTAATTTGGGTATAATATAATAAAAAATGTAGTTTTTTGTACTTGAATACAGTAAAAAAAAAAAAAAACTGTTTAAATCTTTATTAAGATGTGATTTAGTAAAATCTATATATATACCTAATTATAAATAAAGTTAAATCAATTTTGAAAAATTTATTAGTATTTTATTCATAATTATATATTTTATTTTAAAATTTATAATGTTTCAAAGAAAAATATATTATTTCGTCTCAAATTACTAATTTTATATCTTATAATCTAATCAAACATTTTTACGTTAAATTTTTATATATAATTTCAAAATTTAAGAATAATTAAGTTTTTTAATATTAAACCAACATTATTAATAATATTGTTTTTAAACTAACCAAAATAATAAATTTTGTTTTTAAAAGACTGGTTGAATGTTTCATATAATTATATTTAATGTGTTTATAATAATAATAATACAAAAAAAAAACAATGTCTAATATTAAAATTATTATTTTATAAACATGTATCTTAATTTATTTTACAAAAAGAAATAAAGGATAAATAATATATACGATGAGAAAATAAGTAGCTTAAAAGATTTTTGTTAAATTAAGGTTTATTCAAGAAAAAATTTAAAACCGTGATATATTAGAAATAAAAATTAGAAAACTTTTTAATTTAGCTGCAGGTATAAGACAGAAAAGGGCTCAGCAGATCAATATTTCAATACGTTAACTATTTTTTATACTCAACACGGAAAAATAATATTATATTAAAGATGGTTTTGGCGAGGGTGAGAGAGGTTCGATTTAATCTTTTGATATATCACTATTTATTTTCGAACAAGTGATTTAAAGGCTAGAGACACCCGCGGTTGATATTTATGGGTAAGAGAAGGAAGTATCTTCGAAAATATAATTTATTATCATTCGTTTAATGATAGGCCACTCAGCTCGTACACCCTTGAACCACTTGTTCGAAAAATGGACAGAGATTAATATATATAATACATATATTATTTTTATAAAATATACTGAAGGGTGAGTCATCGTGTTTTCTTATAACAAAATATAGATTAAATATGTAGTATATATGTCAAGAATATAATAGTACTACAAACACTTTGTTACAATTATAAATTTATCAAAAAGTATTGATGAAAATAGTTCTATAGTAAATCTCTCGGAGAAAAATATATTAAAAATAAATATCGTTTCACCTGCCAGAGTCAAGAAAACTACTTGTTTTTAGTCATTGTTTTTGTTGTACTTAAACAAAGTACATTTTTTTTTTTTAAATTTAAAATACGAAAATTTAAAATCTGTACAAAATATATTACAACACGTAAATTGAATAAAATTTATGAGGGAAAGAATTAATAGGCGCGAGCAAGGACGTCAAACTGTGGTGCCATCATAATATATAAATTCAATCGCATCGAATCAATTTTGTATTATTTGAATATGTATATTAAAGTTATTATTTTAATACACATGTAATTCAGCTAAGTGAACAAATATCTTGTTCACAATGAATAATAACAAAATATCGTAAAATCGTTTTTGATGAAATGCCTATTAGATTTACTAGCAGTTGATTGTAAATGAAAAAAAAAAATATTAAAAGGCATTATATTATATATTTTTTTTTTTTATTGAATTTTACGTTATGTTAATCGTAAGAAATTTAAGTTCTGGATTGAATATAAAATAATTTAACTATATAGTGTTTATTAGTTTATTAGTAGTAAACGGATTAATTTAGCATATGACCAGTAATAGTAAACAAAACAAAAACCTAAGCTAACGAATAAACTTCTGTGAATAATTTACTGTTAACCATAAGACGCTTAGTAATATTATTAACTTATAAGACTTTAAAAAATGTATAATCTTATATTATACATCAATATAACTTTTTATCCGGGATATGTTAATGTTTTACTATAGATTAACTATATTTTTTATTAAATATATATCCATAGAAACATGGTAATTATATTACTATTATTTAATAATTGCTGCTTAAAAATTTCAATAAATATAAATACATTAAAATTCTGGTAATTTATGGTACATAATACTTACCTAATAATATAGTTAAACATTATTTGAAGGTTAAACTTTAATTTTAGTATTTGCTTATACTAAAATGTATTCAAAGAAGCATATATTTTTTGGGCATAATGTAAAAATTAGATACCTACTTTTATATGACTATCATATATTTAGCTAAAATTTTATTTATTTTATTAGAACTAACGCCAAACGGCTTTTTAACAACATTATATAATAATTTAAATATAATTTAATAAGAAAATAACAATTGCTTAACTTAAGACTAAATTTGGTCAATTTGAGTGATAGGTAATAAAAATAAAACATGTTGCAATTCGTTGAAGGGATGAGAGAAATAAAAAATGAGGAAAGAAATAAGTTAGAGAAATAAATTTGTATTGAGCATAGGTTTTGAATGTAGGGCATTCTTAGAGAAGTTAGATTTTAATGATAGGAAGGTAAAAAGAACCCTAAAGCGGCTAAAGCCTAGTATTACTAGGAATACGAAAACAAAATAATTCAAGAAGTTTAAAGGCATCGAGTCGACCCTCAATCAGACTGTCGAGATCAGTGAGCAGAATACTGTGATCTGACATTAATTATTAAACGACGTCGCACGTTTCTGGTTCACTTGCAGCGGTTGGTGAGAAAGGTAGTTTAAAAAAAAATTGAACACTTGTGTTTAAAACTTAAGTAGTTAAGACACTTGATTAATTATTAAACAATAATATAATACTACTTATGGCTTGAGCCTTGAATGCTATTAAAAAGGTTACTAAGACTGGAAATGGTAATGTACTCGCGGCGACGTGGTTGTGAAAATGTCTACGACGAGCAATAATCTAATAACAGGGTAAATAGATAGCTTAGAACTGTGACTAATTTTTTTTAGTGTTTGGTACTCGGTTCATATTTATACGAGTCTTCTTATCGTCCATATATGGTGGCGTGATGTTAATAATAGGAAGCTTATTATATAAAATATATTATTCAG